TGCTATAGGTTCTTGAAGGAAAATCAAACATTGAGATATGAGGGTCAGCTTGTAACTCATGGGGGTATGCTATAGGTTCTTGAAGGAAAATCAAACATTGAGATATGAGGGTCAGCTTGTAACTCATAACGGTATGCTATAGGTTCTTGAAGGAAAATCAAACATTGGGAGATGAGGGTCAGCTTGTAAACTCATAACGGTATGCTATAGGTTCTTGAAGGAAAATCAAACATTGAGATATGAGGGTCAGCTTGTAACTCATAACGGTATGCTATAGGTTCTTGAAGGAAAATCAAACATTGGGAGATGAGGGTCAGCTTGTAACTCATAACGGTATGCTATAGGTTCTTGAAGGAAAATCAAACATTGGGAGATGAGGGTCAGCTTGTAACTCATGGGGGTATGCTATAGGTTCTTGAAGGAAAATCAAACATTGAGATATGAGGGTCAGCTTGTAACTCATGGGGGTATGCTATAGGTTCTTGAAGGAAAATCAAACATTGAGATATGATGGTCAGCTTGTAACTCATAACGGTATGCTATAGGTTCTTGAAGGAAAATCAAACATTGGGAGATGAGGGTCAGCTTGTAACTCATGATGGTATGCTATAGGTTCTTGAAGGAAAATCTAACAATAATAGCAAATTGCTCTGAGAGAAAGCAAAAAAATTGGATAATAGGATTGGTGAAAGTTAGAACAACATCGTACAAGAAATTTGAAAGTTATGAGTGTTTAAAGTATGATATCACTAAGTCAAAGCAAATCTCAAAATTGGGCTATTTGATTTGACTTTAGTGCACTAATACAAATATATTTTGTATAATATAATATTAAAGGTTTTCTAAAAAAAAAAGACACTCCCAAGTCATATGTTTTGAAAAATTGATGTTTTAGTCATTTTGTGTGTTGGAACAAATGGGATAGTTGTCCAGCAGTTCATCATAGTGACTTTACAAATTCAGCCTATTTGAAGTGCCTATGCATATGTTTACAAATTACAACTTTCGATAATGCATTATCATAACTTTCTTATTTTGTTTCCAATTTCTTCCAAACTTTCACCCGTCTGCTTCTCAGATTTGTCTACTTTCTTTTAGAGTAATTTGCTATCAGGGTTGAGTATCACTTAAAAGGAAAATCAAACCTTAAATCGTTTGAACCCACTAAAAACTGCTTGCAAAGTCCAATAAAATTTTAAAAAAATGAAAATATCCATATAGATCTAATTGCATACATTTATAGATCTATGTCCTTCAATGTTCTTTTCCCTCTGTTTCATTACCATGACATTCATTCTTGGGAGTTATTGGCATATCTTATTTTATTTTGCTATAAAATTCATTCCTCTCTTTATAGCCAATAATAAGTAACCAGATTAAATTTTACTTCTCAAATGATATAAAAATATATTTAATGTGTTCATAACAGGCCTGGTCTTCACCATCAAACAAGAAGTTGACACTGACATGTTTGAATCCCTCTCAAGTACAGAAGGACAAGACCCATCGACTGAACAAGGTATCATGAAGTTATCAAGATAATTCTTTTGTACAAATGCGCGTAGGCCTGAGGGTGGTCAACAACCCCAAAACATAAAAACAAAACAAAACAAATCAAAGGCAAGCATTGCATAAAGTCCAATGTGGTTGGCCTCTGGGGTTTATAGATGCACTCTGGCGCAATTCCTTATTTTAAAGCATTTCAAACAAATTTTGTACCTCATATTATTGAATGGTTTTGGGTGGGAATGAACATTAATCTGTTACTGAATTTGTTAAAACCCCTTGTGGACCCGACACAGAAGTAAATTAGTTAAAGGTAATACAAAGTTTGGGGAAATTTTGAAAATGGCTGGATAGCCATTCTTTAAATTGTTGATATATTTGGATGCCCCTGAGGATGTATTATAAGCACTAGAAAATATAGCCCCTAAGCACTTAATTAAATATCAAAACTTACCGGTGCTCCCGGTAAATTATGATAAATTTCAAATAGTGCCTATACGGCCATCCAGTGGTACCTGCAACCATGAAAATCTCAGAATATGCAGTTGTGATATATAATTTCCAAACGGGAATAGCCGATCGGTCGATTTTAGTCAAGAAACATAATATCTTGACCTTGAGAGAGAGTTATACACAGTGTGTGCGGGCAAGTACAGAATCCAAAGACCGGTGTAATAGTATATTTGTAAAGTGCTTAGAGACATTGTATTAAGCGCTATATAAAAGCTAAATATTATTATTATTATCATTATTTATAATTTCATCACTTTAGACTCTAACAATCACTAAATATTGTAGGATCGCATATGCTTCCAATATGTTCATAACCCCCATACAAAAATTTTGTATTACCTTTAAGATACAATGAAGATATTAACTACTGGGGTATCGTTTCACAAAATCGTCAACAGTACAAATTCACAGACATCCAATTGAATATTTGTAAATGTTAAATTCAGTACACACATTTTGATTGGTTGTGCAACAAAGCGCTACAGGTACTTATTACAATTTCGTTGAAACACTGCCCAGTTTTCTGTTTTGAATGAATTAGTAATTCATTGTTGAGGTTGGCTTGAGGAAGACTAAAATTTAAAGCATGATGACTAGGCCTATATTCAGAAGGAAGGTAACGACTTACTAAGTAAATAGCATTTTCTCTATGTTCCAGTTTAATATCTTTAACATCCAGTTGCACCACAAGCATTGACATGGTCTGAAAAATAGTTAAAAATCCTCCAATAACTAGTAAAAGCACAGCTATTAAAAAGAATGATGTTGAACATTTCTTCTTGATTTCCTTTTCTTTATAGAAATAGTCTATGCCATCATAAAGCAAGAAGACAAAGAAGAGATATTTGAACCTATTACACCTCACGGTGAAGGAGGAGGAGAAACTGAGCAATCAATTCCTGAAGGTATGATCAACAACACCCCCCCCCCCCCCGCCCCCCAGGACAATATTTCTTTCATTTTAATGGTAAATGGATTCCTTAAAGGGAAAGTCCATCCTGATATTAATTTGTTTAAAATAAGATCCCCCTAAAAAGAGAGAAGCAAATAAGGGTTAGGTATCCCTTAAAAGGAAAATCTAACCATAAATTGTTTGAGCGAAACAGAAAGTATGAATGTTTGTCGTGAAAAAGGAGGATGTATCCTTGGGGTACACTCCTGCTAGCAAAGTCCAATTAAATTAAATCTATTTACATACATCTATAGATGTACTGCAATTTTATTTTCCCTCTGTTTCATACAATGACATTCATTCTTGTGAGTTATTGGCACACCATATTTTATTTTCTATAAAATGCATTCTTCTCTTTGTAGCCAATATTAAGTAACCAGGTCAAATTTTACTTCTCAGATGATATAAAAAATATCTTTACTTTGTTCATAACAGGCCTGGTCTTCACCATCAAACAAGAAGTTGACACTGACATGTTTGAATCCCTCTCAAGTACAGAAGGACAAGACCCATCGACTAAACAAGGTATCATGAAGTTATCAAGATAATTCTTTTGTACAAATGCGCTTAGGCCTGAGGGTGGTCAACAACCTAAAAACCTAAAAACACAACAAAACAAATCAAAATCTAAAATTGGAACATGAAAGGAGTATGTAGCCTACTGATGCATGCATTGCGTGAAGTCCAATGTGGTTGGCCTCTGGGGTTTGTAGATGCACTCTGGTGCAATCCTTATTTTAAAGCATATCAAACAAATTTTGTACCTCATATTATTGAAAGTTTTAGGGTGGGAATGAACATTAATCTGTTGCTGAATGTGTTAGAACCCCTTGTAGACCAGACAGTGACGTAAATTAGTTTAAGGTAAACACAAAGTTTTGGGAAATTTTGAAAATGGCTGGATAGCTATTCTTTAAAATTTCGATATATTTTGATGCCCCTGAGGATGTATTATAAGCACTAGAAAATATAGCCCCTAAACACTTCTGCTTTCGAGAAAAATTGAATATCAAAATTTACCAGTGCTCCCAGTAAATTTTGATGAATTTCAAATAGCACCTTACAGCCATCCAATGGTAGCTGCCACCATGAAATTCTCAGAATGTGCAGTTGTGATATATAGTTTCCAAACGGGAATAGCCGATCGGTCGAGTTTAGTAAAGAAAAATTGTTTTTATGCTAAATTAATATCTTGGCCTTGAGAGAGAGAGCTATGCAGCATAGAGAGTTTATTATTTACAATTTCAATTTCATCACTTTAGATTCGATTTTAACCGCAACAACAATCTCTGAATATTGTAGGATCGCACATGCTTCAAATATTTTCATGACCCCATCCCAAAACTTTGTATTACCTAAGATACAATGATGGTATTAACTACTGGGGTATCGTTTCACAAAATCGTCAGCAGTACAAGTTCACTGACAACCAATTGAACAACATGTATGCGTTATATTCAGTACACGCATTTCGATGGGTTGTGCAACAAAGCGCTACCGGTACTTATTACAGTTTTGTTGAAATGCTGCCCTGTTTTATGTTTTGAATGAATTAGTAATTAATTCATTGTTGAGCTTGGCTTGAGAAAGACTAAAATTTAAAGCATGTTAACTAGGCCTATATTCAGAAGGAAGGGAACAACTTCATTTAATATTAGCATTTTCTCTATGTTCCAGTTTAATATCTTGAACATCCAGTTGCACCACAAGCATTGACATGGTCTGAAAATAGTTCACAATTCTCCAATAATTAGCAAATGCACAGCTATTAAAAAGAATGATATTGAACATTTCTTCTTGATTTCCTTTTCTTATAGAAATGGTCAATTCCACCATAAAGCAAGAAGACAAAGAAGAGATATTTGAACCTATTACAACTCAGGGTGAAGGAGGAGGAGAAACTGAGCAATCAATTCCTGAAGGTATGATCAACATTCTTTCATTTTAAAGGCAAATCAAATCCTTAAAGTCCATTCTGATATTAATTTAAAAAAAAAAAAATCCCCCCAATAAGAGAGAAACAAATGAGGGTTAAGTATCCCTTAAAAGGAAAATCAACCTTCATATTTTAACAGGCTAGACCCAACAGTAATTAAAATATGGCTAGGTGAGCTTTTGTTTTTTTAAACGGGAATTTTGATTGAATGTACATTATATATACAAAATGTACTAAAATAGGTTTTTGCGGCCAATTTCAGACTTTTGTCATTCAAATTCATATTCCGAGCATTTGAATTCGTGCAATTCGCACTCGCAGCGTTGAATCAGCTTTCAAATTCAAAATCCGTCATTCAAATTCACTATCCGTGCAATGAAGTGTCATATCACTGGATCCAAAATGACAGTCGGTTGCTTCATCCTTTCAACTCATCAAATATTGTACAAATATCACACTTTTCGTGGCATATTCAAAATATATAAATGCACATACCAAGATATGCCTAAGATAAGACAATTTCAAAAGTTTTGTTTATTTGGTGGTGGAATCGGTGTTATGTCTGAGTATTGTAAAATTGTGTATGCTGTTCTTAGGATGGGTGAAGTATACTTGTTCTTGTAGGGGGTGTTATCCTTTTTTTTTCATGGAAAACTGATGTATTGTCATGACCTGATAATCAATATTTAGCAATTTTATGTGAGTAAAATCACCCAAATTTCAAACAATCATGTGTGCATGCTTCCGCGCAGTGTTGGCATGCCGTTTTATTTTCGATTCATAGTGCCACTTAGGAAATTACTGATTTATTCCAAAAATTAGTGATTTTGAGCCTTGTGATTACTGATTTTCTGTTCTGGAGGTTGGCAGCTCTGTTTGTATTGTTCCCATGTTCTCAAACATGCATAGCCTAGGCTTTTACGTTGATATGTTTTACAGTATGTAATAATCAATATTAAATTAATGTTTTTCTGATAATTTTCATGCAGTGCAAGTAAATCATACGTAAGCTTACGTAAGTAATTCATACAATGCAAGTAAATCCATACATTGAGAGAGACAATTACAATTACAGTTTAGTCCTGAAGTTCATACACCCCAAGAGAGGCGTAGCACAAGAAAACACTGTAGGCAGGTAAGCCTACATGTAAGTCTATGCGTGGGGTGGGGGGGGGGGGGGGGGTATGAGTTGACTGATTCTGAAATTTGTTGTGCGAAATATCAGATAGCATATCAATGAATAATTTAACACCAATTTCAGGTGTTAAAAAACTTATTTCATGATGATAGCAGACAAAATTGACAGATTTTGACAGGTTTCGAGACAGAAATTTGCATATAAAATTTTATGCCAATTTATGATGTCATTAATAGTTGAAGACAATAAAATAATTTTGTCTACCTATTGCTGTATGATGTGCAAAGATCGTTAATTAATTTGGTGGAGATCAGATTTATATCTGCTGAGAACTGGTAAAATATAAGCGCATAATTCATAGACCCTAAGAAAGCGTTCAAAACAAGAAAAACTGCCATTTTACATATCTTCAAATAAGGGGCAAAAAAATAATGTCTAAATGAAATTTTTCTTGGGAACATCTTTTTTTCTCTGATGAAATGGATCACAATGAACAAAATGACACCCAAGAAGTAGGATCATAGGGGGGGGGGGGGTGCACGGTAGCCCCTCTGGCCCATGGACTAATGGCGCTCATATCTGTCAGACTTGACACTCCTGGTACTCCTGATTATTACCATGGCTTTAATTTTCTTCTATTTTGTAACAACTTTTGTCTCTTGCAATATGATTTAAGCTAAACTATAATTGGAAGATCACCTTTTCCTTGCTGAAGAAAGGTCGCCAACTTGATGGCTACGGTCTATTTCTTTCTTCTTCACAAACGAGAGTATTGGTATTTTTTCCATGCTCCAAAGGTTCTTTTGCAGCTGTTTTGAGAATACTGCTCTTATAAACTTGGCATTTCAGGTTTGCAATTTGTTTGAGGCTGTTATCAGTTCACTTGGATGTTTGATGGCTGTCTCCTTCTCATTCACCTTCATCTCGACATCCATCAAGGTTGATTTTGCCTTCTCTGATGAGGTGTGAAGGTACTGAAATTGTTGCGAGTTCATCACAAACTTCAGTTATTTTAATATCAGACTTTCTGAGACTTTCAATAGTTATGAAGCGTTGATCATGATGATCAAGTTTGTGGTGAATTTCATCAAATTATTTGAAATTTCATGTAATTTGCTACTACCATTGTTTGAGAGTGCCTCCTTGGAGTCATTAATGTCTAGAAGCTCCTTATGCTATTGCTGTCTGTTTGGGAGGCATTGTAGTACTACTAGCTAGCCTAGCCCTATATAGGGTCGACACTAATTACTACGTCACCACAATCACGATTATCACACCGGTATTAGTATCAATGCATGTACGCAGTTCACTGAACGTTTCATCAAGTATGGGACCGTAGTAGATTATTTCGAAGATCCAACAATATCTATCAAGTATCAACAGTCTGCACAAGAATGGTAGCTAAATTCAATATTATCGATTCATATGTATTACCATTCCGTATTCAGCACCCATTCATTCATTATGGTAAACGGATTTTGCAGTTCTCTTCCTCCTTATTGGCAATATATTCTTGAAGAAAGTAATTTTATCGTCCAAGTTTTAACAGGAGTCTGCCAGTCATATACCGTGTACATGATAAAAAATACCCCTAACTTTCTTAATTTCTGGATGTCTGCCCAACAGTTTAAACCGAATTTGGATAAAATCTTTAATATCAACAAAACTGCTGGCAAGTTCCAGAGTTCTGTTTAGGACCAGATATGGTTTAATTCATTTTCTTTGACTTACACACTATATGAAAGATTTCAATGTATCCTGTCAAAATTGATGTATGCGAAGTTGACTGTATTGAAGGTTTTAACCATTACATGATAGTCTGCATCTAGGCAGACTGGATACGCCATGTGATATTTCTTTACTCTATAGGGATTTTTAATTCTGGCATTTACCAGAGCTCGGCCTTCTCTTCAATAAGGATGTAATTACTTTCTTTTCCTCCCCAGAGTTGGACAATGGACAAGACAATAAACACCCACATATAACATCATGCAGTGGAGAGAAGTCCCATCTGTGTTTACATTGCAGTAAGACATTTACAGATGAGAACACTCTTATACTACATCAGAAAACACACCAGGGCGAGTATGAGCTAAGAAGCCACCCTAGAACACAAACTGGAGGGAAAATTTTCAACAGGGGAGAAAAGCCTTATCAACGTCCCAATTGTGATAAAGGATTTCCTGAAAAGAATAATCTTAATCGTCACCTTAGAACACATACAGGAGGGAAACCATTTAAGTGTTCTCAGTGTGATAAGGGATTTTCTGTAAAGACTAATCTTACTGCCCACCTTAGAACACATACAGGAGAGAAACCCTTTAAGTGTCCCCATTGTGATAAGACATTTTCTGTAAAGACTATTCTCACTAACCACCTTAGAACACATACAGGAGAGAAACCATTTAAGTGTTCTCAGTGTGATAAGACATTTTCTGTAAAGACTATTCTTACTGTCCACCTTAGAACACATACAGGAGAGAAACCCTTTAAGTGTCCCCATTGTGATAAGACATTTGCTCAAAAGTCTGTTCTTACTAACCACCTTAGAACACATACAGGAGAGAAACCCTTTAAGTGTCCCCATTGTGATAAGACATTTTCTCAAAGAAGTCACCTTACTAGACATTTAAGAACACACAGCCTCAACGAAAAAGCCTCAACGATGTTCCCATCGTGATAAGACGTTTTCTCAAAAGAATGAGCTTACTAGCCACCTTAGAACACATACACAAGAGAAACCTTTCATCTTTTCCCAGTGTGACAAGGCTTTTACTTGCCAAAGTAATCTAGGAAAGCATCTAAGGACGCATACAGGAGAAAAGCCTTTCACTGTTCCTATTGTGAAAAGGGTTTTTCTGAAAGAAGTATTTTGGATGGGATTATATTTAAAAAAAAACATATTAATGAGTAAATTAACATCTTTGCTGCATTTCATAGGACCTTTAATAGACACCTTAGAACACATACAGGAGAGAAACCATTTAAGTGTTCCCAGTGTGATAAGACATTTTTTGTAAAGACTAATCTTACTGCCCACCTTAGAACACAAACAGGAGAGAAAACCTTTAAGTGTTCCCAGTTTGATAAGGTTTTTACTTGCTAAAGTTATCTTACTACCCATTTAAGAACACACAGTGGAGAAAAGCCTTATCGATGTCCCAATTGTGGTAAAGGATTTCCTGAAAAGACTATTCTTGCTGCCCACCTTAGAACACATACAGGAGAGAAACCCTTTATATGTTCCTAGTTTGATAAGGGTTTTCCCTATAAAAGTACCCTATATAGACATTTAAGAACACACAGCCTCGATGAAGAGCCTCATCAATGTCCCAATTGTGATAAAGGACTTCCTGAAAAGAATAATCTTACTCCTGACCTTAGAACACATACAGGAGAGAAACCATTTAAGTGTTCTCAGTGTGATAAGGGGCTTTCTGTAAAGACTATTCTTGCTGCCCACCTTAGAACACATACAGGAGAGAAACCCTTTAAGTGTTCCAAGTATGATAAGGTTTTTACTTTCCAAAGTTATCTTACTACCCATTTAAGAACACATACAGGAGAGAAACCCTTTAATTGTCCCCATTGTGATAAGACATTTTCTCGAAAGGCTATTCTTACTAACCAACTTAGAACACATACAGGAGAGAAATCATTTAAGTGTCCCCATTGTGATAAGACATTTTCTCAAAAGACTAGTCTTACTACCCACTTTAGAACACATACAGGGGAGAAACCCTTTAAATGTTCCTAGTGTGATAAGGGTTTTCTCTATAAAAGTACACTCATTAGACATTTAAGAACACATAGCCTCGATGAAGAGCCTCGATGAAGAGCCTCGTCGATGCTACCATTGTGATAAGAGATTTTCTCAACAAAGTACTCTTACATGTACCTCTCATGTAAGGACATACATGAGAAAAGCCTTATCAATTTTCCAAGTGTGATAAGGGTTTTTCTCAAAAGGCTAGGCTTACTAACCACCTTAGAACACATACAGGAGAGAAACCCTTTAAGGATTCCAATTTGTGATACAAGTTTTTCTCCAAGAAGTACCCTTATTTGACTTTTAAGAACACACAGTGGAGAAAAGCCTTATCGATGTTACCATTACGATACCAGTTTTTCTCAACAAGGTGATCTTAATTTTCATATTAGGACACATACATGTACTAGAAAAAAAAAATGAAAATGTTTCGATTGTAATATGAGATTTCTATCAATTGGATGTTATTAGCCAGCTTGGATATATATTACAGGTAGGAAACCCTTTAATTGATCCGTTTGTGATACAGCTTTTTGTGAACAAGGTCATCTAACTTGTCATGTTAGACACACACACACAAGAGAAAAACCTTATAAATGTAGTGATTGTAATAAGAGATTTTTTTTTATAAAAGGATGTTACTAGCCACCGTAGAACACATACAAGAGAGAAACTCGTCAAGCGTTCCTAATAAAATAAGGATTTTCTTATGAATGTGAGCTCACAAGGCATATAAGAACATAAATGTTCAGATTGTATTAAAGGCACACTGCCATACTTGTAGCTACTTAATATAATAATAATAAATTATATTTCTATAGCGCATTATACAAGGTATGTCTCTATGCGCTTTACATTGTATTACAAGCTTAATTAATTACATACATCTACTATTGAACTATCCTCAAAAAATTCAAAAAATCTGACAAGATCTTAACTAAAATAGTATAACAGTAACTAGATAGATATTCATTCTTAAATAATGATACAACAATTATGGTTCAAGATTTTATTTATATATTACAAGTTGTAGGCATATACAATTTCAATTCAAATTATAGATTAATAACTAATTCTTAAAAAGGTAGGTCTTAAGTGCAGTCTTGAAGGTCTGGATGGAAGGTGCAGTTCGAATGGCGAGCGGTAGAGAGTTCCAGAGGGTGGGAGCATTGAAGGTGAAGGAGCTACGGCCGTAGTACTGGGTCTTAAAACGAGGAATCTGGAGAAGATGTTTGTTCTGGGATCTGAGAGCACGGGAGGGTGTGTAGGTGTGAATGAGTTCAGACAGATAAGAAGGGGTAGAGTTAGAGAGAGACTTGTAGGTGAGAAGTAGGATCTTAAAGTGAATCCGCTTGTTGATTGGGAGCCAGTGGAGGTTACGGAGAAGGGATGTGGTAGAAGTGAGACCAGTTGCTTTCTCTGTGATTCTGGCTGCGATGTTTTGAATTCTTTGAAGCTTCATCAGTTCGTTGGCAGGAAGATTAGGAAGAAGTGCATTGCATGTGTCAAGTTTGGAGGTGACGAAGGCATGGATGAGAGTGAGAGTTGTCTTCCGGTCTAAAACCCTACGAATTTGACCTATCTTTCTGATGGATGACATGGCAGAGCGACACACCCCTGCGACATGAGATTTCCTAGTGGCGTGCTCATCGAATATGATTCCCAAGTTCCTAGCCTCGGCCTTGGCTTCAATAACTGACTCACCGACTGTTACCGTAACAGAGGGTGTTCTTGGGAGGAATCTGGAGGAAAAGTGAAGAACTTCCGTTTTTCCGTCATTAATTTTTAACTTGTTTAAGCCTGCCCAGGAGCGGATGTCAGCTATGCATCTGTTCACTCGAAGAACGGCAGATGCTCTCTCTGATGGGTCGAAAGACAGGTAGATCTGAGTGTCGTCAGCATATAACATTGACTGAATTCCATGCTCAGATATGATGTCATGGATTGGGGCAGTGTACAGGGTAAACAGCAGCGGTCCAAGTACCGAACCTTGGGGTACGCCGCATGTGTCCTCTACTGGTCCTGAAGAAGCAAGGCTCACTCTTACCACATGATTCCTTCCTGCAAGGTAAGAGTGGAACCATTTCATTGCATTTCCTGAAACTCCAAAATTCTCAGAAAGTCTCTCCAGGAGTATTGGATGGTCTATAGTGTCGAACGCGGCCGTAAAATCTAGGAGTACGAGGATCACTTCTTTATGGGTGTCTAAGGCCTCTAAGCAGTCATTTTCTACGCGTAGAAGAGCTGTTTCTACACTATGGTGCTTTCGGTAAGCTGACTGTGTTTTAGGAAGTAAGGCATTTTCTTCAAGGTACTCTAGAAATTGCCCCATGACAGCCCTTTCTATTACCTTCGACATGTAGGGGATGTTTGAGATTGGTCTGAAATTCTTGAGTTCGTTGACTGGTAGATTCGATTTCTTAAGTTTTGGAAACACTATAGCGTGTTTCAAGGCTGTGGGAAATATGCCCATCTGGAAACTCAGGTTGACGAACTTTGTGATGAGAGGAGCAAGAATAGATGTGCAACGCTTCAGGAGGATGGTGGGCAAGGGGTCCAAGGCACAGGATGCTGAAGATGAGGTCTTAATGATTGACAAAACCTCGTCCTGTGAGACTTCGTCAAAATTCATGAAGTGATGATGGGTTGATGAAGAAATATCAGCCGAGATGTCTTCATAGATTTGCTGATCAAGGTTGTCGCGAAGACGTCTAATCTTGGTTGTGAAGAAGTCACTAAAATCTTGAGCGAGCTCAAATGGACTTGTGTGCTGTGGTAAACAGGAACCTGCAGTAGGAGAAGTCAGATCATTCATTATGCGGAAAAGCTGCTTCTGATCTGCATCCTGTATCTTGTTCTGAAAATACAATTCCTTGGTTTCATAAAGTAGATCATTGTAGAGCTTGCAATGTTTCTGGTAGATCTCTTTGTCGATTTGCAAGCTTGTTGGCTTTGTTGCTCTCCTCTCGCAGCGTCTACGTTCTTGTTTCGCCTTTCTAAGATGTTGGTTGTACCAGGGGGCGTGTGGACGTAGAATAACATTCTTCTCAAGTTCTGGAGCATGTAAATCTAGAATGTTTCGAAGTTCACTGTCTAATAAGTTCGCTAGCTGTTCTGGATCATCTGGGGGGTTGGTGATGACACTTGATGATGCTAGATCAGCTGCGAATGAACTCAGGTCGATGGTCTTGAGGGATCGGGACTTAAATTTCTTCTGAATATGCGCAGGGCGTGATAATTTGAGGTCGCATGTAACAA